AGTTGTGGTCGTGTTATTTTTATTTTTAAGTCCAGTGTCAAATAATAGTGATAATTATATAGTTAAAAGTTGGCGAATGCTATTCGAATTCGGTGTAGTGTATTGCAATACAGTTCTGGAAATTAAAAACGTGAGTTTCTATATACAATATTGTTTGAATCGCATTGTTATTAATCGATATGGACTGTACACATCAGTACTGTATTTTAAATTCTGTCAATACTGTACGATTTTCAAAATAAAATACTGGAACGTCGAACACATATCATCGGGAAAGCCATTGGATAGTTTTCCCATAATGTTTAATTTGTTTACGTCTACAATGAGATGTGATGCACGTTAAAATATATTATTAATATTAGAGAAATATGATGTACACTATTTTGGAATGTCGTTCAAGTGTATGGTTTACGTTCGTGGCTATGCGATATTTACTCGTAATTATATATGAGGCTCATAAAAAATAATAATAAAACTGGCTAGATGGGACCAATAGTTTGTAAATATGAACGCCTGCGGCATGCAATATTTCTATCCATTTAACAGTTTTAGTCTGGACCAAAAACTAGGTACAGAGTGTCATAATCCATCCGTACAGTACGCTTTCGTGTGTACTATCGCGGTTTTGTGAAGTTCTCCACATTTTTCATGACTGATAGATTCATTTTTTTTTGGTTTTTTTTTTTAAATTTATTGTTCCGCTGACCTTATTTTTTTTTATATATAAAATGAAAGGAAAATTAATTCATTGTTTCTGAAAGTATAAAAAATATTAAAATACCTACAAATAATGTAAATTGTTTGTTGAAATAGATTTTCTAATAGTTTTTCATGCTTTTAGAGATGTACGATTCTAAGGTCTCCAAAACTTTGAATTGATTCTCACGAGTATAACACTTCAAAGTAATTATCAGTTATCAGTTATCACCAAAAAAGAAAATAACAACATCTCACTTAGTACAAAAAAATGTAATTGTTTAATATACTTTTCATATTTATATGAATAGAAATATAGAATATTAGATAATAGCTTAAAGACGAAAATTGTTAATTCTCAAATTCTTTTTTATTAAACAAATTTATGGAAGTATGAATCTGCCAGTACCATCATTTTAAAAACAAATCGAAAAATTGTGTCGTATCTATAATACGTTTCAATTTAAATTACTCTAGTTAGATAAACTTTTATTTTTGTTACATGTATAAGATTAGATTAATACTGTACTATGCACTTACTTTAAATAAGTCATAGGTGTCACAAATACATAATAAGATAGGTTAAGTATCCTGCAACCTAATACTGTTTACTCTACTATACCACTAATTACTAAGTATATTTGCACATGCTCATAGTAGGTACTATATTACTCTATTTACGTCTAGCTTAGTTCATAGTCGAGTTGTAATGCAGTTATTTCCTATAAGATTAAAATTCGCAATTTATCTTTTATTATAATTATAATATAGGTACATTATATAAAAGTGATTTTAAAACTTCTCTTTTTTAAATCCTTCATGTAATTTGAAACCGACACAGCAATACATACTCATTTTAAGGATAATTTGGTATCATATATCCATGTTATTACTGAGTAGAGTGTGTTAAAAAATTTGTTTTAGGAAGAGCTTTTTTAAAAAAAATAAGGTCTATCTAAAACTGTGACATTTTTATGATTTTTTTTTTAAACTACTACGTTTATAATAATTTATATATGTCTAAAATAGTATGAAGCTTGTTCTTTTATAACAATTTTAATTGTACATTAAAAAGATTTTTAATGTACGAACTCGACTTAAAATCAATGATTGCTAAAAGTAAAAATAATATTTTATAATTAAGAAAAATAAGTGGAACTACAGTGACGGTTTTATTGACACAATTTTATTTTTGACAATTGGTCTATTGCGTTTCCAGGTCATTCCAATATCTGAGTGTTATCTACTCCAATTAAACTGAATTTAATTTTTTCTTATATCTTGTTATAGGACTGTAAAAGTTTTAAAACTACTTGATTCAAAATGATTGAAAGAAAATTGGTATTACAAAAATATAAGCGTTTATGGTTTAGTGTAATATTACATGTATTGTAATAGTACCGTTCTATGTTAATAACTATATTTACAATAAATTACATTGCGAAATAACGTACCTATAGTAAATACTTGATAATTATTACTTTGTCCGATTTATCGATTAAAGCGTTTACCAGCTAATGATCGTGATAAGAATTTAACGAATTCGCAATTATAGGTAACAAAAATATTTAGATAATGGTTACAACATTTAGAGAATGCAAAAGTTATTATAACATAGTAAGTTATACCCTCGAAATATTTTTTATATAATCTGACTTAAAGAATTATAAATTATAATGCATAATATTAATCATCTTATGTACAAATTTCCTTGGATTAATAATCCAAAATAAAAAAATTGTAAACAACTAGTATATATTATTAATTTTACATAAGGAAACGTATTTCCATTCTATAACAATACGGACGAGATTATTATTCGTGGGATTTTTTTTATCAATTTGATTCATTACGAGTTCAAAAAATTGGCAATGCGAGCAGTAAACGATTTACATTTTAAATTTAAAATACTAAATTGCTTTTAAGCTTCGTTAACAAATACCTAATGCATCCATTGTAATATATGGCCAAAATACCACAGTCGGGCTTAAGAATTCCGTCTGTTGGTGTATTCACCGCACGTATTTGGCCCCAACATTAGTGTAGGTACACATTATATTCGCAGTGTTCCACGGACGCGCACAAACGTGAAATGACTATTAACAGGTGACATCATGGTAACACCTATCCAAAATATAATGCTGTTGAGTATGGGACATTGAACCTTTGTGTATTTCTGGTATAGTTCGTTTTATATTACTATTATTACCATTATATAAACCGTGAAATTCTTTATAAACTCACATGGCGCAGATATGTTTTATACGATATAGTGTGAGAGACTGTGAAGGTACTTTTTTTACTGTTATCTATACAACAATCATTGTAAAAATATTAAAATTTACTAGCGTATAATGTGTTAGTGACACGCCTAAATGAACTTCTTGCAGTTCGTTAATAAAAAAAAATACAAAATTAAACGTTTATGAAATATATAGGATGAATATGATACTATGGAAATAAAAATGTCATAGGTCGTGCCCACATAGAATATCTATAAGATCTCTCTTAAAACAACAAATAACAAATGTACATATAACATACTTATCAGATTTTTGAAGACACGATTTACAAGACGAACATTCTTAATATCATCTGCTCTAAATTCTGCATGAAATGATTTATTTGCAATGTCACAATCATATGACATCCGTCTAAATTGTAGTATCATTTGTATACATCTTTCGTTCTTTGTGCAACTCACATAAGTGCATTTAAACTTGTTTTTAGGACATCGCAATTTTCGCTACAATTGTGCAGTGTATTATCGGGTATTATCGTGCGTTGACCATTTTACCGGAATAATATTTTCACATTTGATTAAAAAATAAAAAATTTGTGTAGTTTAATGATTTTTAATTCAGACTAATGAAATTATAGAGGTTATTGATGTCTACTACATAATATCGTGTATAATATATTGTGTAATCCATATATATCACAACTAGAGCTTTATTTTTTTTCATAAAAATCTATCATTTTTGAGGGGGTTATGAAAATTATTTCGGGTACTTTACAATACCAAGTCTATCAAGCCACCACCTGTAGTTGTACACTTGTGCTTATGGACAGACCACGTCATTATTTATACATTTGATAACCTATATAAAACCATACAACGTTTGAATGGAAAAATCAAATTCGATACCAGGTATATTATTATATTATATAGGGTAAATTGTAACAGTGCATATCCAGATAATTTTATATTTTTATATACGTATTATAATTTTATTATTGGTGCCAAATTATTATTAGCAGAAAAAAAAATCTAATACCAGAAAGGAAAATAATTATTGTAAATGATGACCATGTTTATGGTCGTCCGGGTCGTGGGAGGAGGACGATACGTTGACCTTAAACTCCGGTCGATGATGTCAAACTATAGAACAACGTACCGGCTGCACGTGAAACCGAAATAAAAAAAATGACAGACCATATATACATTTTATATAGCAGTCAGCGGAGAAAAATGAAGCCGATCAATTAACTACTTTCCCTGCAAAAATTGACTTTTACTTAAGATGCCTTCCGGGGGGCTGGCTGGGGATCGAATAGGTATATTGGGACAGTCGAATGAACCGCATTCCTGATACTCACCTGAATATAATATGTTATGGGCCTTGAATCCGGAAATCCTGCACATAACCTAATTTTGTATGCAAAAAAAAAATACATCGATCAACATAGACGTCGCAGGGTTTGACCCTCTAGCTAATTATATTTATTTTAATTACAATCGCGTGCTATAACCGTGTGCAAAATAGCATCGTAAATGATTTTTTACCCGTTCAATTATGTATGATGAATAACAACTATCGTAAGTTTTATTTTGATGGCAATATCAAAATTAATTTGTCTACAATAGAATTTTATGTTGAAATAAAATAAATACAATTAATTCCGTTGTGTTTAGTTGATCGTAAATAATTATACTTTGGTATATTATATTATTATTTCAGTTGTCAGGGCTTATATTGTATCTATGCATTGAATAAAATGTTTTCTTATTTAGCTTTACTAACTTGAATTAATAATTTTGTTTACTGTTTACTACCTAAGTGGCTATAGGTATATAATATGAAATTTAATACTGTAGGTTAATTTGTATAGTTTTACTTTGGAATATGTTAATAACTTATATCAATTTGAATAATAAATAAGATAGCCCGTGGTCACACATTTGCGTGCGTGTAAAATGCATAAAGACTGTCGGTGCATAATTTTTATATTTTAACCTCATACCTAAATACTGTTATGATGATCATATAAAATTATGTTTTTGTTCTACAGAACTCTTCGTGATGGGCGATTACGACAGGATCCACAGAATGTGTCAAAAACGTGGGGAATTATGGGAGGATCCCGATTTCCCTGCCACCCAGTCGTCAGTGTTTTACCACCAAAAGCCACCATTCCAATTCGTGTGGAAAAGACCCAAGGTTAGTAACATGTTAACGAGTTTACGAAGCTTCGGTGTAAGAGAAGTTTTTAACTAAGTCGTATTAATCGATAAGGTAGACAGGCAATGGTGGGCGATCATATAAAATATATATACGTATATGACTAGTAGGATGATGGAGCACCCACATGATACTTATTAAAGTGGTAGGTACGAGACGACGATGCAACGACCTTTAAAAAAATAAAAATACGTTAAATCTGATAAATAAGGTATTATAATGGACGCCTGTGTTATTTAACAGACTATAACAGTGTATTTTATAAGCCGAGTGAATGACGTGGTTCTGTGTAGTTACAACTTAAAGCGTGGTACGTTTACGGTTTACCTATATAATATAGTGGGATGTATAGTGTGTATATAAACGGTATACCCCGAAGTGCTGTAATAATGAATATTCTGAAAATGTGTTTAAAATACTTATCTAATAGTATTATTTTCACTTGACAACCTAACCTAAGATAATAAACTGAAATACTTTTCTTATACAAAAACAGCATTTCTATTTCAATTTATATGATATAATATACCTAATACTATATTTCATTATCTTATATTATATTTGAAATAAGTAATAGTTACACTTCAGTAACATTAATTTTTAAATTCTGAGAGGAGCGAAGAAGCTAGTGGTTTTACAATGATGTTTATTTTTTTTTTTATTCTGTAAACTAAATTTCTACCAGAAACAGTGCTTCGATTTCAACATATTGTATCTTCTCTTTTAGAAAATTGAATCAAGATGGTACTTTAAACAGGCCATTTTTCGATTTTCTCAATAGTTTTTTAACACCACGGGAAAAACCACCAAAATTTATTTTTCTAACCTATTTTTTGCTAACGCTTTATATATCACCATTGAAACAAATACAATTTAAAAACTACCTAATTCCCCCATTAGATATATTATATGATACAATTAATGGTTATCACTTATCTATTAATACATATTTATGATTCATACATTTTCTTTCGTCCGCTCCCAATTATCGAATGCAATCATTGCATTCAAATAGAATACTCAATAATTCATTATCCTGTCTGAGGACAGAAGGGATGATGGACAAACTTCTACTACCGCCGACCTACTGCACCCTATTGCACTTGCCTCTTTTTTTTAAATGTTCATCCATCATCCGCCATTCTAAAGAATTATTTATTTTTCAACGTTTACACGAATGTAATACATTAATTAATACGATAATTTATTTTATAAACAATCGAAATTCGTGATCACTATTTACGAAATTATTATCAAAGAAATAACATAAATCGAATCACCCCGAAATATCTATATTCAAAACCAAAAATAAATATTTAAAATACAGTTTTTAATACTTTTTATACATTATAATACTTTCACTCCTGGAACACCTATACAGATTATTCAGAATTAACGATAAAATTGGACAGACTTTCGATCATTGACAAACGCTTTTCCTGCTCAATTCAAACGGTGTACGTCATGTTTTCCGTAATAATTATAATGACGTTTGTGGTACCATCGACAGCTCGAAATCGTGTTCTTACGGAATTATAGTTATTATGTACAATGACACCGAAGCTCCTCCAGAGTTCATTTACGCGAATCGGACTCGAGAATTATTGCAATTAGAACTGAACGATTTATAGAGATGCACTAGCTGCAGCTGTTGAATCGTCGGACGATTATTATCAGAAAGGTGTGGGACGTGCGAATTAATTTCGCATAATGTTAATTGTATACTGTATGCACACACGCGTATTATGTAACCTAACCTACGGTATACTGTTATTATAATATTACAATAATAACGTGCCCTACGCATCTCACGTCGTCGGATATGTCATCGGCCGGGCTCGCGTATATTATACGATTGTCGGACTTGTCGATATAAGGCCACTCCCGCGAAGTTTGCACCCAACGAGTCGCGAACATTATTGTCGGTCACCGCGAGAGGTCTTCAATATTGTTATTGTGCTCTCTCGTCGTGACTATAATATATATTATAATAATGTGCAACGCCATTGTTCGCGCCGCGAGAATTGAAAATCGTATTTATTGTTTCGCCTATATTATGTATCGCGTACCTATACTTGTATTCAATGTTAATTACTATTACTATTGGTCGGCATCTCTATATTATATCTTACGTGTTGGCGTCATTACAATAGGGTGCACATCGACCGTGGTACATGCTCAATATAATAGCCCGGTAACCGTGTACAAGCATAATATCAGACATGCAAGCTGCGCCGCCGCCGCATTCTCGAACGCATATGATTAATATATTTTCATCGACACAGCACCTTGTTCGCTTACAATGCGACTAATAACCTCCTCCTCCCCCTTCCCCCGGTAACCGTTCGCAATTAACCAAACTAAATAATATTATAATGTTCCGACCAGTTAAATACTCTGTCCCTTGTGGCTCGTTGTTAATATTAATCGTACATTAATCAAACAAACTCCGTATGCGCACATGAGTTCGACACTTTGATGGTGACGTTCGAGATTAAAAGATCTTTTTCTCTAAACTCGAAATCAGCTGAGTGTTCCCCACACGAGTTGAGTCGAAAGCGTTTTTAAATTTAAGCATTACAAATCAATAACAACAACCACAGTCCACAACGCTGCAAGGCGTTGTAATTGAAATGGTACATTATTAATCTACGATGGCTTGTAAAAAGTGACCCAACTGTGCCGGCTAAATTTATTTGACACCAGGCTCATAATACTGTGTAATAGATGTTATTTTTCACTCGAATAATTCAACTAAAACACTCATTTAAATGTTATGGTTTTTCTATTAAAAAACGAATACATTTTAACAGTAGTTGTTGTCTTTTTCCTCCGACACGCGAATAACAAAAAAAACCAATTATGATCACCGTTTAATCCTCTGATAAAGTACCGATATCTAACGATGTTTTGAAAATTACACGAAATATTGTTAAAATCCCACGCTCAGGCCGGCAAATTATTTTTACATTAATGTTTCGTCATGTTCCGGCCCCTTAACTATGTGTCGTTGCCCAGTGAAGAAAATATGTAACTGAAACGAATAAATACGAACGGCCAATTACCATTTTTTTTTTTCTTCCACTAACTACTATGCGTATGTGTATCATGGAGCTTAATTATTTTCGAGTTTCGGACCGTCGACTGTCGATTCTGCAGCAGTAAACGCGACATCTCTGCAGCGTTCGTTCTTAGCACACAATAATAATAATAATAATAATATAATAATATAACGACCTAAACGTCCGCCCGGCGACCACATTTTTCACGATGTCTCCGAATGTCTGATTTTATTCGTTTTACCCGTCATCACTGGTCATTGATAACCAATGAACGTTTATAAATTGAAAAATAAATTACGATGATTCGCAGGGAACATGGAATAATAATGTGCATCGTATATAATATTATTATATTATGATAATAATATGTGCTTGTACGTTATATATATTATAGGTTTAATATATTATAAATACGTGTTTCTATTGCCAGATATATATACGCGTACGATGAAGAACCACTGACCATTGTAAGTAGGTTATATGAGTGTGTGTGTGTGTGCATTGTGCGTGTGTGTGTGAGTTGCGCCCAGTGAAACCGACCGGCTGTGAATGTTTTAAACGGGAGATGATATCCCTCGGCCGAAAACGTCTATTAAACGGTGTAGCATACATATTTTATTTTTATGCATTATTATTACTTCTTACTGTTTTCCAAATTCCATTCATGAATAATATACCTAATATACAATGTACATCGTACATTTACGATACATAATATATACGTACATATACACGATACACATGATAGGTATTATATTATATTTATATATACATGAATATGACGTCCGTTATAGTGTACAATAATACAATGTACATTTATACATTTATAAAACGTCGCGTGTGAGGATCAAACAATACGAAACTAAGTCTGAATCGCTATACGACTGTCCATTTTGAATTATTAGAAACGATTTCAATGAACTGGAGAACCGGTCGGATTTTGATGAACTAGTGAGATACATTGCATGGGTATCAGAATATTAGAAATTACTTTAAATATATAATATCAACAGAACAAAATAATATAAATTGAACAATAATATCACTAAAATATCATAATATTATAAATTAAAAAAAACTATAACCATTCAAAACTTAAACATTATCTTCAAATTAAAAAGCATTTTGGGTGTGTTTTATCATAATCGCTAATACATAATATAACACTATTAGGTTATAGACTTATAGTATTAAAGTATGATTGCAAATAATAGGAACGATTTATACACAAATTATAGGTACCTACGTATTTTTTTTTAGAATATATTTAAATAAATAGAAACATATACTTACACGGTTTTATAGATTTTTAAATATTGAAATTTACATTCGATATATAGGTACTTTTATGGTTTTTTATTTTTAGTGCTCTATATAGTTTTTATATTATATTAGAGTTGGAATTTTAATTATTTTAAGTAAGTATAAATAATTATACAATATTTTTACTTCACCTGCTTCAACGTTCTTAATAGATAAAGTATAAAATTAACTTTGTATATCAACAGTAAAGAGTACAGACTAAAAACGAACCAGATATCCAGTAAATAAATTATAATATTATACCTTCTTGTTTTAGGAGATATGTAATAGACCGGTTTTCGTCAGTGATTCCACGTCTCAATTTGATATCAGTCCAGGAAAAATGGGTAAGTGTAATTCCTCAATGAATGATTATAGCCGTAAAAATCTTTATTATCATTTCGTATTTCAGTATTCGTTATATCTATATATAACTATATTGGAAAACAAAGAAGTGTTTATTCGTTCTAATTACTATTTTTTTTTTACTCAAATTCTCTATTTTTTTTTTTGTGCAACTCTATATAGCTACTATTTTTTTGAAAACTCATGCTTTTTGACTTTCACTTCTATGATTTGTGCTTGTGTCTGTAATAGAAGGGCAAAATAAAATCAGAGAGAGTGCCCATGTCTAATTTCTGAAACTTAGTGTGCGTGAAAATCGTCGATAAATTTATTTTTTCCAATATAGTATATATACCATAGTCTGGCAAACGCTTTTCTTTATTTATTTACTTATTTCAAATAACACCATAATCCATTTATCACTATTGTTCAAATAAAAAAAAAAAACGTTACTATTGTATCATTTTCAATTGTCATCACTTCGAAAGACAGTTCTGTTAGCCTTAATTTTAATTATTTTAGCAAGTACGCAAAGTATGTCGATTTCGCACTATAAATTAAACCATTTCAATCACATTAGGTAAATCGTTTTATGGGTACCAAACAAAAATTAAAATCAAGTGTATACAATCTATTATTTACTTCAGACATTTTTTAGTTCACTAAACTCAATATCATAACAGTATTTTATTAAACAGTTTTAATTTTTTGCTATACAGCAAGTGTTAAATATTATAGTATATAAGAAACAGTTTATTTTTATTATAAATACAAGTTATATGTAGGTAAAAAATTGTTAGGAGTCTGATAGGCGATAGCTGATAAAATACATTTTAAAAATTCTATTATATAATTATTGACTCGAGAATATATATTAATAATTAGTATACAAAATTAGATACCTACCTACCTAGTTTGAAATTTATGATGTAAGTAGCTCAAAGTATACTTTAGTTTTATGATAATTTTTATACTAAAATAATTTAGTCCCTACTCCCTAGGTATAGTATATTGTATAATGTACTTAGAAGTTTCTGTGTATATGCATATTCCATAAATAATATTATAATTAAATAGGTACATACACAACTTATTATAGAAAAAATATATACAAAATAATTCATGCTCTAGTTGTTTTAAAAATATAGGAAACACTAATAAAATTACAGCTCTTTTGAATATTGAATAAAATTAAAATTAATTAAAAATATTTTTTCTGTAAGATCTTTTTCAACATTTTGGGGAAATTATAAAATAATTTAAATCCCAAGCTAAACACAAATTTGTTAAGAAGTTTATATTACAGAATTTTGAGAAATTATAATATTTTTTTTTTCGATTTCTTAGGTAGCAATAAGAAGAAATAGAATAATAGTAATTTAGTTTAAAACGTTAAACTAAATTATTATTTTTCTTTTAATAATATCATTGAGCTAGGTGCTTGTATCATTAATTATTATATATAGGTACCTATATGAATATAAATATAGAATACCTTACAACTGTGTTTTAAATACATGATGTAAAAATTTATTTCAATATATTATAAATGGTGTATTCAACTTATTTCAGAATAATTTGATTTGTTCATCAGTATAATATCATAATATACATAATAATATGTAAACATATCAATATAGTTGTATGAAACATTAACTAGCATTGATGAAACTTATCAATTGAGATTACCTTTACTAAACTGCATGTCGAATGGGAAATAGTTTATATTATAAAGTTAACCTATTATCACTGTCATTTATCGATCAATGATCATGTATGAATGTTATTACGAGTAAATAATTTTTTTTTATGTGAACCAAACGTTTGCCATGTACGGACTAGTTTTTATCAATTTTCTATAAAATATACCTATAAGTAAATACTAAATGTATAGGATTTAAAGAACGTCGTGACGGTCACAGCCTTGTGTAGGTAGTAGCTGGCGATAATTCTGTTTTATTATAATGTTGGTAAAAAGAAAGGAAAAAATAAGTATGTGCTTATTGTGTGGTCTTATTGAATTGATAAAAAAAAATAAACTAAAATTAGGATTTCAATACCATTGACAGTCTTTTGGTTAAATTGTCAAAATGTCATAAAAAAAGTTGGAACAGAATGTACAATTTTCAAGGTTATTTATATTGATTTATAATACCAAGTTTGGTGTTAAATGTAACAACAGTAGTTTTCAAAATTGATCAAAGACAAGATACTAAACACGCGTTAGAGTTATTATTCATTTTTATTTATTATGTACAGTAGGTATGTAATAGAATACAAAAAGGTTAAAAGATATTTTATTCAAATTTTATTTTATATTTTAAATGTTCAAACAGTTAAACACCAATAAAACTTATTAACTTTAGCTTAATGTACCTACTTTTACTGTACGGTTTTATTTATAAACTTTAATATGTATAAAATATATAGTTTAAATTGTAAACATACCTACCCAAGTTTTATTGAAGGCACATTATGCGGAAACTTCATTTGTTGGATCCTTTATATGGGAAAGTTATATACACTATTAACATAGATTATAGATTCAATTACTTACTGAATATTAAATTATTTTGTATCCAACATTAAGAAAATATTCAGTGATATGCGCTTTTACTTAATTATATCCTCTACTGGACTAAGATACGTAGGACTCATAGTCGACCAACCTCAATTCAAGTAATACTTTTATTTTCTTAAGCCTAAGTCTCGTTTATGAATCTCATTTGAGTCATATAAATATAGCTTAAGCAATACTTACTCTTAAGCATCGACTATGAATACGGCCCTTAATGCTTTAAAACTGCATTGTTTTATTCTGAGATAACAATATTATCTACGAATATCACCATATTATGTCGTAAAATAATTAAACTTTTGATAATTATCCATAATTTCGAGATCAATTGTTAAACCGTGTTAATTTAAACCATGGTTAAATAGTTTAAATTGATGGTGTTATTTCGACATTATTTTCAGGTGGGAAAACTATAGCACTCTGCAGTACCTAGTTTATCATTTAATTAGAATAGTTCCCCATTGTACGGAATAATAATGTCCTAACCGAATGGTATAGTATAATAGTCTCCTCCCCCCCCCCCCAACACTGTAAGTGTGCCGATCCTCCGACATGTCAAATTATCCATGTAGCCGATGAGAATGTATTTCAACACAACGGAACTGAACGAAATTGTATTATTATACACGTGGATATTGATCAAGCGTATCTGCATTTGGCGGGAACAATGTATATTTTCGTGCATTATTTGTAATAGGACATAAAATAATATTATATAAAAATGTGTTTCACGATTGGAACCCACGAAAATAAAAATATAACGTTACGCCGCGGGATGAAGATCCGTGTACACGACCTTGCGGGAGGATAAAAGTAAACAATATATTTTGGTTTTCGTGATTATAATAATTCAACATGGTCCGTCGGATTTCGTATAATATATTATAGGTACAGCGTTCTATTATGCACGTGGCTGTGGTTAAGTCGGTACCCATTGTCAGCATCGCATACCTAAACGAGTACGTTTGTGTATACACTATAGTATATGTCGGTGAAAATTATCCCATACAATGTTTCCCGTAATTGTCTAGTGAAAATTCGAACCGCGTCGGTAATATTTTTGAACCGCTCGTCAAAGCGATCGCCCGGGAAGTCAATAAGTAATAATCACAATAATTATAAACTGTCGACAGGTGCACGTGTAGTGGTTGTAATCTTCGTTTTTATTCTTCTATAGGACAAACATTTTTTCCTACCAAATGTTAGGAACACAAATGTGGTAATTTAAACTTCAGCCAAAAGATGTCAAGTGTATCGCGGTATAATACTGTGTCTCCAGAGTTATACCCATATTGCGTTCACGAGACTGGAACAAATTAGCCTGCAGCACATTATAATATTATTATTGTCGTGATATTTGTCTCTGCAAATCGACAAAAGATTCATCTAGAGATTTTTTCCGCGTGTGCATATTATTATACTTACGCCCATTATACTTTCAGTTAGTCGACCAACCCCGTCACAGTGGGTAGGTTACCTACTGCAGTTACTCGGTTACTGTTAACGCATTATTTCTCTGCACGAAAAGTGTTTTGGATACGTTCAATGAGCGACTACCAAACGTAAAACATCATTATAAGTAGGTACGCTATTGAAAAGTACAAACATAATATTACTATGGAATACGTTAAATTTCATAACCAACAAACTCTTCAGACCATATAATATTATAAGCAACAAGAATGATCACTCGCCCTATGTTGTAATATCAGCTGAACGTTCTTGCTTGTACTGTACAAAACTATACAGATAATATATCAATTGTAACGTTGCGATTTCAATGGCTTTTGGAAAAACGAAAAAACAGTAATAAAAACAATACGGTGGTTATATCAATTGAATAAAGCAATAGCGTTAAATATATAAACCTTGTTCTTTAGGTTTAAAACGGGATACCGTTTAAATTGGATTATTTTTACAAACACCAAAATATTATCTCGTTACCTATCTGGATACAGTGGAAGACTACCAAATATAGGTGCCCAGTACAAACACTTAACTGTTTCGAATCGTCTGAAAAAATGTGTCAATTGTATAGGTAATAGGCTTATTATAATATTTTGTTTGTTAGCTCTCGTGGAACGGATCCAGTAATAATATTATACATAGGTATGTTACAATACGCATATTAAAAAATATAATATGTTCAATAAAATTCACTAAAACAGCATTCGGTTTATTCCTTGCAATTAAATTCATAGTGTGGCGTGGGTAGATACTTTAATCGAAAGGATAATAATTTATTTTTTTTGGTTTGAAAACCAATTAGTTGATTTTTCATTGCAGTGTAAATATATTATTATTTTCTACTATAAACTAATATACGTGCACAATTTATTGTCCTTTTAAAGTCAGTTGAGACTCGAATCTGGGAATAATGTAATTTCCCATACAATATGCATAATAATGAAATCGCCAACGAATTTCTATATATTCCTTGTCAACATTTTTATTTTGTTCAGTCTTTCGATGTTTTATTTAATATAATATATTATGTATTTCAAAAAACTTTTTTTTTTAAATGTTTAGTAAGATCTTATTACAAATGAAAAACACACTTAGACTGTCTATATCGTTTCGTATTATAAATAATTACAATGCGACGGTTTTTTTTTTATTTTTATAATAACCTGTTTTAAAAATTAGATAGTTAATCACTACTAATCGGACATTTTATTATGTTTGCATTGCAGGTGATAAATGGCTCGTATCTTGTCTGGGAGTGCTGTACCTTTGTAAAGGTTTGTTTTATCGCGTGGTGCCGGCCGACCAGTCGCTTTCCAGCGAAAAGGAGTACAGCGGCGTTTTCCGGTTTCGTTTGTGGTGGTGTGGCGAATGGATGGAAGTGTTGGTCGACGACAGACTTCCAACCGTTAACAACCGGCTGGCGTTTTTGCAATCTACACATACCGATCAGTTTTGGCCGGGACTGCTGGAAAAAGCGTACGCCAAGTAAGCATGCGCAATTAAAATAGTAATAATCGTTTATAAAATGGGTGTATACGTAGTGTTGCTTTAATCAACGTTTTGATAGGATTTTATTGATAGTTGGTTACAATTTTTTGTATTTATTTTTTAATTATTCTTGATTTATTTATTTATTCAATATAATATTTATAATATTACAGTTAACGCCTGAAAGGCTCGAGGGTAAAATAACGGAAAATATAATGACAATTAAATTAAATTAAACGCATAATATTAATAATATCAGTGAATTTAAGAATGACGAACAACAATACAATAAAATACGTAATTACAAATAAACACCTACTGATAGAAATAAATGTGAGTTTAAGGGAGAGTAGCATATGCAAATAATAAAATCATATTAATTTTTTTTCTCTTATACTTAAACCTAAAAAATACCCTTCCTACTAAATCGTCTAAGACATTAATAAGTATACAATTAAGTTATAGGCTACCTATAGCCTATGGGTACTATCAAAATATATTATAAATATTAGCCGTTAACTGATACATCTAAATCATTTAGATATTTTTAATGATTTATTATTTACCATGACAGTTTATAATAAATTCAAAATTTAAAACTTCGCCCTTATTTTGCTGACTACATGTATAATTACTAGAAAATTGTGTACAGATTTCATATTTTTAATATTATGTGACCTCGAAAAGTTCTAAGTGCAATAATTAATAAACGGTGTTGAGAAATGATTTACAATTGATATAGGTATACTTAACATACCAATAAATAATACTTTTTAAAATTATTGTTATTGAAATACAATATAATTTATCAAATAGGAAGTTTAGTATTCAAAGAATTTATTCAATTATTATCAATACAATGCATTAGGTAGGTACTTATAAAATAACAGTTTATATTTGTATAGGTAATAATTACACCTATAGGTGTAATAAGTTGATTATAATTTAGAATAAGTAAAATAAAGCGAAGTAAACACGTATCTATAAGATTTCTTAATAAGTATATTATTATATCTGATGAAGTTATGAATAATTTAACAAAATATATTTTGAGTATAAATATATTACACAAATGACATGTATATACATAATCTAAATACCAAAATGTATATTATATAACATGTATATTATTATTTTATATTATTATAATTCATTTCATTCGTTTTTACAACCAATTTCTTTTCAATGAGTAGGTACAATGTTCAATTTTAATAACTTCATGAACAAAATAATAGGTAATAGACAATAGTTTATCCAACTAAGCGATGAACGCATAGCTGATCCATTTTATTAGACTCGTGGAAAGACGAGTAGTCGAAAACTGGCAATCGTTTGCTCATAAAAATATGATCGTCAATCGTCGTCTTGCTAACAATAAGTAATCTCATTTGCAACATACGTGCACATGCGTGTCCAATAGTTTTTTTCAGCCTCGTTGAACTTCCTACGCCTCAGATGGTTTATCATAATATTTTATATTGTACGGGAGCGTTTGTAACAAAGGCGACATGCTGACAATTTAACATAATATTATTTCTGACGGTCGAATCGTATAGGTACTATAAATTTTATAACGATTCGAGATTTAAAATAATAATATTATATTTTATATTTTATACACGTTACCCCGAGACAGCAATGAAAAATAATGACTGCTTATTTTTGTTCGGTTTTTATTTTATTTTTATTTGTCATTGATGAATATTACATATTATTTTACTAAGTGAGAGAATACCAATAAAAACGGGAAACGAGATTTTTATAAAATTTACTACACGCTGGCCGACCAGACGGAAGCAGCGACAGTGTTTGTGAAAGTGGAATAGACGCTCATAATATTATAGGTAGTTGTTATCCCTTATTTCAGAGTTATAACAATTATACGCAAAATACTTTGCATCACAATATTTTATAGTTTTCGTACGGTTTTCGAACTCTGTTGCGGATATTTAAACCGTATATTATATACGCATGTTTACCTGCAAAATGGATTAAAGTTTAAATCGCTCGGTGCCGTGTGGTTTTAAAATACATATAATATTATTATTTCTTTCGGATACATATAACGCGTATAATATACAATATTATTATAATATTATTTCCCCGTCCGTATTATACAAAAGTGTACGCTTACGTTTTTCTTTCTCGCTAGACACGGAGATCGGTGTCTGAAAAAATAACATCTCAAAAACTCGTCTACTTGAATTATTTAAATTCCGACCGGGCACGTTCCCCCTCAACGGGTAACCGTATAAATTAATTCCCTGCCTCGCCGTATTATATTTTGATTGATACCAGTTCATATACAATTTTATACACCTGCGGTCATTTTAGAAACCTGTCGGTCGCTCGATATGCGGTCCCGGCGCAGCGCACAATGCGATCGCTTACTGAGAAATTTGTGAAAACTACTACGATCGGGTGTCGTCGCCGATCATCATAATAATAATAATAATATATTATTATTTTCAACTCGGAGTCGCACAAGAGCTGAGAAAATATAATAATTATTATTGTTGGTATCATAATAATAATATTATATTATAGTAAATATCTGTCGTCGAGAATCTTTTGTCAAATCGCTAATTATTAATTATCACGACAGTTCCACATAATAATGATAGTAATAAAAATAATAATAATATGATCCAATATGAATAATGAACGGCTAGCGGTCACCGGACTTGGATAGATGACCTTGGGTGTTTCCTTTAGCCCACGCCGCCATCAATACACTCCGAAAATGGACTCGACGAGAATTAAAATAATATAATAATATACGAACTTGCCTACTGCCATTATAATGTCCGTGCAGAAACGGTTTTTACTTATTACTGTAAATTTCAATGATGTTGTGTCGATGGACTCTGTGGGAGCTGTGCTGGTGGTGCGTTAATCGAACACGATATTTAGAATAATTGCGCTATTTTGGTCGTTGGGCATCGATGCAGTCAGTCGGAGAAAAAAAATTTAAATATCTAAATAATATGGTCAAGACACCAGACAATTAACACCGCTCGTGCAGAGGTAATATAAAATATAAAGAAGATTACACATGTTTATTATACACTATCAAACATTCAGCTGTTTCCAACCCGTGCCCAAAAGAATTTTAAAAAGTATGCGCACTGTGTTTCGAACATTTTTTTTAATAATCCATTTTTTAAAAAGATGCTTCCCCTCATGGGGAAGAACTAAAATAATGGATATGATTATACAATGAACGTTTATATGTATATGCTATACAGACAAATAATCGAAATTGAAAGTGGTTCAATAAAAAGTTCAATAAATCAGCCTGATATTGTTGTTCTGGTATTAAAATGTAATAACGATAAATTTTACATAAAATTAAAAATTAAGATTTTTTTTCACTTGTGTAATTTACGTTCTTTTTATTATACAAAACAAATCTTTAGTCGTATAAACAAAATTGTTAAAAAAAGTTTGTATAGTTATATAAACAATATTTAAACCTAATTTAACCTAACCTTATGTTTTCAAACTCCTCTTAATTTAGCTTCTAGAATGGAGGTGTTACGTCGCCTATTGGTCATAAAAATGTCAAGTGGTATATTCGGTGACCGGAACCACTGATCCATATAATATTATGTTATGTACAATAATAATGTGCGACGCTTGAAAAATCTTTGACTGCAGTAGTAAAACGGTGACGCTCGTAGATAATATATTACACCTAGGTATATAATATAATATCTGAAAGTGAAATACAAAAAAGTATCATACACGTATAATATACAGGTAGACGGTACTAAAATTATCGTTGTTAATATTTTTTAGTATTTTTTTTCTCGCATTTCGCCGTGATCGACTTAGGGCCGCCGAAATCATGACGTGTTAAAATGCGTCATCGCGTATTATATATTATAACAACTGCGCGGTCACCCTAAACGATATGATAAATAACGATTTCCGATCTCATAAATCGAGCCCGAAGACATGATGTGATGATAGTGACCCTGGAAGTGGTCGTTGTACCCGAGAGATTTATAGATATATTTTGTTCGTACCCAATCTTTGGTTCCTGCAAGACTGCGTGTAAGATGCAGTTCAGGCTCTGACGGTGCAATGGCAAAATCGCACTAAAAGTTGTACTGTGATCGCTGCAACTGCCGACACAATACCATATTATCATTATAACATATTTTTCGAAAACATAAATTAAAATATAATAATAACGAGCCCGAGGCACATCTATGATGTGTACGATATATACGAACAATTAACAAAAGGTATATGTACTTATTTATAACCCGGTACCTATAATTCTGCAGAGATTGCAACGAATTAAAACCTCCGGAAATCGAGTGAACAACTAAATTACTCCGTGAAAAGTCGATTTCGCACAGTAGGTAATGTTAACATATCTAACATATAACTTGTATACCTACACACTGTGCCACGTGACGGTGTAACGAATTATTTCGGTTTTATATTATACATATTATACCTGCATAATAATAACGTAGACCGATGATCTACGATTTTGATATTTATTTAATTTCAAAACATGATTCATAGTTGTTCGATTAAAGAATAATAATACATGTAATCAAATAATCCAAATAACCAGTATTATAGTTGGAGGCTGTCTTACGAATAAATTGATTGTCTTATTTTAGTAAAAAAAACCAAGTAGGCAAATAAATTATTTACAAGTTTTCTTATATCGATATAATCAAAATAATTATTATAAATTCAAATGACGTCGATGAAAATATTTTTAAGTATATGAAGTTTCGATAAAATACGATTTAACCTACCATAAGATACTTAACAAATACTTACCTACCTATTAATAATTACATAATATGCAGGCTTAAAGATTTTATTATTTATTGTGTGTTGCATTTTATTCTCATTTCTCGTGTTTATCAACAAAAGTAAACAAAATCTAAAGTATTGATCAATAAATAATGACGAACAATCTTGACGTACCTGTTGAATAGCTCGTTTAAAAAAAAAACTCGACTAATTTTTATTTCCGTAAACAGCGAAGTAAAAATATATTATTAACTATCATAACTATAACTTTTTTTTTTTGATGCGGCGTAATTATAATCTATATTATATTTATAATAATGTAATGGTTTTATAAGCTTCAAGAATATAGATTCATATATAGCTTTGCGGAAACAATGTTATTTAAATTTATTTTTGGCCATTATTGCCTATATTATATAGAGTGGCAATTTTTTTTTTTTCATCGTCCAATCACTGTGATCGCTCATTGTTTACAATACTTAAAATAATAATAATAACAGTGATTATAATATAATATCGATTATCCTCGTTTTGTTCGAAATTGAAGAGTAATTTTATTTATTGCATAAGATCTCGTTGTAGCTGTAAATAACAAAATCCTATAATATAACATCTTACAACCATATGAAATCCATCGCATACCGATCGAGACTGGAAAGTGATACAAACGTTCGCCATGCGCAGAGTGTTATATTATACGAATGCGCATTTTAAACGATCGTGTCCTGTGTATCGTTAATCGATCACTTTCGAATCGTATTCAAAATGGAAAACGAACGACAACGAAACGCGTTTTGCCAATGAACTTGAATCCTGCTGCTCCGTAGTTGACCATCAATAACACTATACAGCGCGAGTGCATTATCGTCCTGTTATTTTCGTATTATAACCGGCAACCGCTTTCGGCGTTATTTGATATTGACCCGTTTTGGGATATTATTGTGAAAGTATTCAAACCACAGCACGGGCTGAGTTGAAATTAAGCGTATGTTTGAAATGTAATCGTCGCGGTTTAACCATTAAATACGATACACGATAATAATATTATACAAATAGGCACTTAACTATATTTTTATTTCGCATTCGGTAAATCTGCATTTTGAAAATAACACACAACAATATGTAATAATATTATAATATTGTATGAAATAAATTATTTAAAAATTGAAATTAGTTGTTCATAGTTTTATTAATATTATATAATATCCGGTGTATAATGTAATAATGCAAAAAGTCAACATTTTTTTTTTAGAATATTTTCATGTTTCATTATTTTAATTGTTTACAACTTTATCTTACATTTAAAACTAAGTGATAGTAACATATTACATTACCAAATCCCCGAATTAGTTAAATCTACAAAAAGTCATAAACATTTTATTGCTGATAACTATATTATCACATTTTATTGTTTAATCCATTAAATCACTTCAATGAAACCTCTTATTTTTTTTTTTAATTGAGCTTGAGCACGGCAGCTTAGCCATTAGCTATTTTTTGTTTTGTTGGTAGGGGGGTATACATCTGTGTTTGTTTTTGACAGAATTTTTGATTTGGGCACCCACAGGTATCTGCCATGCCCAGGTGGGGGATGGCGGCAGAAACCTCTTATTATATTTTCATATTATTACGTAAGCTAATTCTTATGGTTTTATTTGGAAAGTGTGTTTTTTTCAATTCTGAGTAATGCGAAGAGGGAGTGTTTGGTATTTTAATGTGATATTTTTGTTTACATGGTTTTGATTTTATAAAACATTTTTCTGGTACGATAGAAGGAACATAAGCAATGTAATAATATTAATACATCTCCAAATTTAGTTTATAAGTCAAAAATTCTTGTTTTAATGTCTATACTAAAATGCAAGTACCTACGGCCAAACAAACGAAAATAAATAAAAATAGTTTGTGTATAGGGTAAACTGGACAATGTTTAGAATTGTTTTTAAAACACAATATCAACCATTGCTTTCAAGTCTAAAGACGTGTATGCTATAGTATCTGACATTACTATTGTAACTAATTCACTTTTAGATTTTATGTGGAGCTAGAGGAAATGTATACCTACTTAATTTTATAACAATGAGACTTGTAAAAATTATGTCAAGAACCAAACTTCGCTGGTTTAAAATTACGAGCGTCTAAGTATATTTAGTTAATTTATTCTCGTGCTAATAACGTGTACAAAATAGTAATAATAATACAATGAATAAATAAATTAATAAATACGTATTATAAATATGTTCTATTTATTGTCAAAGAATTCATTATAATCATTTGTTTCACAATATTTAAATTGCATTTCATAACAAAAATATACACAATCATATCTTGGTACAATAAATGAGGTATTTTGACTTGTAAGTTGTGACTTGTGATATCTGGGTATTAGGTTTTGAATAAAACATACACATAGTTGGTTATATAAGTTATACAAGTCATATTGAATTTTTTTGCTCAGATTACATGGTTCGTATGAAGCTCTCAAGTATGGTACTCTTCTGGATGGACTCGCTGATCTGACTGGAGGAATCACAGAAAGCATTAATATCCGACAAGACCAAACCACTTGCGGTAGAATGATTGGGAAAATGTTGGACATGACATCTATTGTCACATGCACAGTACAACCGGTCTCACCTCAGGTAATAATTGTCTAGTCGTTTAAACAATTATATACAAAATAAACGTTTCTGAAAAATATAATATACACACCACAATAATAATATATTATTGGTACTTACTACATACTTATATATAGCTATTACCCGTATACCGGCTATGATATATCTGCATCGACATCATAGAACCTAAAATATAGATCATATTATTACGATTTACAATATCATCAAAGTTCTATTATATTGTAGTCTGGTATTATATATAATTACGTCTCGTAGATGAAAACATAAAAATATGCTCGACGTGTTTAAGATGATAACAGCGTACTATACATTATGTATCGTGTTATAAATCATTTTTATGTCAAGGTCTCTCTGAACAATATTCTTTTATATAATTACACATTGGTGCGTATACCTATATACTATAAAATATAGAGTAGACGCTTTCGGATATAGTTAGATATAATTCGTGTTCGAGCGTGTGTCTTCTGCAGCCACGTTTCGAACGCGCAGTGTTATTTTCACCACTTATTAATTTTAATTATTTACGTATAAGTTAATTATTAAAAAAAATAAATAAAAAAACGTACACAATGATAAAACTACAAAGTATGGAAAAAAAACTAATTTACGTTCGAGTGAAAGCCTTTCACAATTTTCAAATCGCAAACTAGGTACTTTTTGTTAATGGTAACAAATATAATTTAATAAATCCGTGCGTACAATAGACGATTATTTCTCAAGTCCCAAGAGGGAAATATACATAATATTTAATAATAGGAAGAACCACGACGACGTGCTACTTATACTTATAAGGCTATACTACAGTAGCATATAATTTATATTTTTACATACATGAAAAGAATCACTCTGATTTTAACTGATATACCACTATTAATATAGAGCTGGACATCGGTAGCATATTGTTATTGTTATTATTATTATTATCGTTTTCGTTTAAGACTTAAAAATTATTCCACCAATACCATAATATTCTAAATATCGGTTTTCTGAACTGTGCCAATTTAAAACAATATGAAGTTGATTTAACTTGAAGCCCGACCACTCGTGATTCGCAGCGATGCGTCGGCATTCCTCTGCGATAATGATCTTCTTAGTCGAATTAACATTTAGTATCATAGATTCTAGTAGTTTCTCTTTCCGACGCGTGTTCGTTTAATTGCCACTAAGCTAGTTTCGTTTGTTTAACTACAAGTTTCTTCGGATGTTATGATTGTTATTATTATTAATATATTTTTATACTTGTGAAATGCACGAAAAAACAATTAGAATTTCACTAGAAAATGAAATCAAACCGTTTATGTTGATAAAACAATATAATTGCGTAAGTAAAAATAATTCTTGTAATCTTGTTGAAAAAAAATTAATAAAATAAACATTAGGTACCATTAGGATTCTCGTTAGGTTTCCAAAACGATTTCAGAAACTTGGCGAGTATTCAAGTCAGTTAAAATAAAATACGACAATAAATTAGGTACTTATATATTTGCTTATCGTCGAAGCATATTTAATAGCAAAATAGTTTTAAAATTAAATTATACATTATTATATCTAATATTACGATAAAAAACATACCTAGGTAGATAAATACATTTGCCGTGTGTGTGAATATAGTAGCGAGATATAATTAGCAATATATTATATTGTACATTTGAACCTACATGTAAAATTTGAAGATATCTGCAGTAATTTACATATTTTCAAAGGAAACATTTACAAAAATTTTGAAAACAAATTGTATATTTTCACAATAAGTACCTACATTATAATATAGTTTTCAAACAATTCAAAGTTATACAATACTGTTTGTCAAATGCCAAAGTAGGTACCAATCTATTTTATTCATAGCACTTCATGTTTCCATATACCTCCTCGCTCCTATTAAGTATTAGTAATTAGTAACTCACAGACTTACATTGTAGCCTGTTGTACTTGGATAACTGCAAGATATACTCCCTGAAGTTAGCGAACCTCTTTAGCGAGTTCAAAGCCTCTTCAGGCTGTCGTAGTCATATGTTATATAATATAATGGCCTTCGGACATTCCCTTAAAAGGAACCTAGTAATACCGATTTTCAGGATATCTTAGTTCCAATCACGTCCAAGACAATAAAAGAAAACGTGTCAACAAATCACTTTTCATAAGAAGGTTGTTGCAAATATTTATCATCGGCTGATTTTTTTTTTTTTTGTACTTTTTAATTCATATAGGTTCAGCAAGTAAATATTATTGTTAATTCTTTTCTCGCAGTATTTTTCCATAACGGTATTATATTGTTAGTTTGTTGTGAAAATATAACATTATGATAGTTTCACGTTTATGATTATTTTGTACGATAAAACTACTCGAACGAACACAATATTCTACGCGCCAAAGTTTTATAATTATATACGTCAGTGTTACGACGATAACACGTCTTGGAGGTACTACATTATTATTATTATTATTATTATTCATAAATCCAGTTTTCCTATTGAGTTCGCATCGTGAACTTACATCGATAGCATAACGAATTGTATTCACCCAGATCAATAAGGTATATTCAAAGCTATATTATTAATAAATAAATACATTGAACACAACAACCTACATTGCAAATTCGCGTGCAGACTTGGCCGATATTTACTCTTTTATTACTGAATATTTGCACCGTTAAATGGTTTTTTAACTATAGAAATCATTTATATTTGCTTTGCATTAATATTACACTGGTATATATACTATTGAAATTTTAGTTTAATATGTACTTGACAAATTTAATTTTTCAAAGCCAACAGTTATTATTATCTTTATGGTTTTATGGTAGGCAGGTAGGTAGGTAGGAGGTACTTACATTATTTTTCTATTAGTTTATGATGTAATTATACAAACATATTTGACCCCAATTGTATAGTCCCGTGGCCTGTTTTAAATCTTTATAAATCATCGTGTTAATTGCGTGTACCTTTATATGTGTATATATAACTATAGAGGTAATATTATAACAAATTAAAATATGTTTTTCAGGCAAATAAAAGCGTACCAGAAAAACTAACAAACGGCATTCAGATCGGAATCAATTACAGGCTGTGCACCGTGGAAAGGGTATGTCGATTGATGTACCAACCTATTCATTTTTCACCGGAAATATTGTTATTTTTATTGTTTCCTTTGTGATTAAACCGGTAGTTGGAAACGTACAAAAACGAGCCAATACAATTGTTCAAATTGCGACAGCCCGGCGGTACCGGCTCCGAGTATAACGGTCCGTGGTCCAGGGATTCTGACGATTGGGACAATGTTCCTCACAAAGAAAAAGAACGCATAAACGCCATTCATCTGATGGAAGGAGAATTTTGGTATTGCACATCTTTATTATTAACATGTTATTATAAATTATAATACAGTGAAACACCCATAATATAACATTTCTTTTAAAAAAATTGTCTGTTTAACGAAATATTTTTGAGAACCAAACCAACTATAACCTGCAAATTCATTTAATTCTATATTTAATCTATATTTCTATATTTATTCTATATTTTATTTCTATAATACGAATTTTTTTGTTGCCCATGAGGACTTCATAGTATGGAAGTGGCACCTTACTAAGATGCACTCGTAAAATCTGGCCGTCGATGATTAATCGTGGGTTTTATGTATTTCAGGATGAATTACAACGAATTCGTGAAGACGTTTACGCACGTTGAAATGGTACACTTGGACAGTGACACCAGTCGAGACGAACCGTCTCTGCATCACAAAAGGACGTGGCAAATGCGTCTTCATCAGGGTACTTGGCAAAGAGGTGTGACGGCCGGAGGATGTCGAAATAATCCAGGTAATGGTGGTATACTTTATTTCGCATAATATAATATAAACTCATTGTGCCTACTTCTTAGGCACATCCGTACGAGTACAGGATTTGATTAAATTTGTTGTTTTTTAGAAACTTTTCACATTAACCCACAACTTCATTTAATCTTGAGCGAAATGGAAGAAGTAGTAATTTCATTGAACCAACACAGCATTATGGAACCTAAAGTGATCGGTTTCACGTCGTACTCGTTACCAAAAGCGTGTATGGACTCGACGGGCAAAGATTTCTTCAAAAAAAACAAATCCCTAGTTAACTCGCAATACACGAACAGCAGACAAGTATGAGAATAATATAATAAGTTCAATTCATTCGCGGGTAGTTAATTAGGGATTGTTCATATATTTGTCTAGGTAAGTCACCGATGCTTTTTGGACCAGGGTGGTTATTTGATAATACCTACCACGTTTGAACCGGGTCAAGAATCGGGATTCACGTTGAGAGTGTATTCGAGCAAACCATTAAAACTCAAGTAAGCTTTATTAAAGCACTGTTAATACCTTAATAATAAATTATCATTATTGATATAATAATAATATTTTAATATCATCGGGTTTTATTTTTTCAGATTACTTGACACTGTTCCCTCGCTATTGAAATCAGCAATAATGAAGGTATGTACATTATAATATTACTAATCGTGCCTAATATTATGCCAAGTCAGTGTGCACAATAAAACCAATTGAATTAACATATTTAGGCACCAGTAAATTTGGATGGTAAGACGTTTGTCCAATACGAATCAGTGTTCCTACAGTTGGCCGACGAGCACAGGACAGTAAATGCATTCGAACTCCAAGAGCTCCTAGACGCTTGTCTGCCAAATGGTGAATTAAAATAATAAATTGCTTTGTTTATTTTGGATGATCAATAACGATATTTTTTTTTGTGATTTACATTATTACAGATTATATAAAGAGTTGTGCTAGCATGGAAGTCTGCCGGCAAGTAGTCATCACGCTAGATGTGAGTTTTCACTTTTAAATATTATTTCGTGTTCGTGCAATGTGTGTTGATCATTTGCTTAAATAAATACTAAGGTTTGCGACCAGCTCTGGGAATATAATATGTACTTATAAACTGTGTAAATGCGATGTTTATAAGATGAATAAAAATATTAGTGAATGTATTATATGAGTAATAAGGCAGGGAAATTTAATTTTAAAACTAATAAAGGGTTCTCATATTATAATTAAAACAAATATGTTTTCTCCTCGGCTGCTGTTTCGACGAGTAATTACTAATTAGTATTTAGCACACGCATTATTATATTTTGTAATAATTATTTGTGCACAGTTGTTAATGTCGTTACTCTTCTTAATGCGTTGTTATAATATTATGTATTCGTCACATCGTGAAATAATTTGTAAATGGCACAGGGACAATCGTGTATAATGTATATATAGGTACCTACATCTGAAGGGCATAGAAAAAAATTCAAATCTTACCTTGAATTTTTGCTCAGTGTTGATCGGAATGAGGGTCATCAGATCGTTTAAGATTGGGGGAGGGAGGGGTTTATGTGTGCCTCTAAACAAGAAGTCCGTCTTGATTGCGTTTTAATTTAAATTTTATTCTCAGAGCTCGGGCAGCGGACGACTGAAGTTCAACGACTTCAAGGACCTGATGTGCAGCCTCAAGTATTGGCAGACGGTGTTCAAGAATCACTCGAAAGACAAGACTGGCATTCTGAAAGCCGAACGGCTAAAGGACGCGCTGCTCGAGGTGGGCTTCCAGGTGAACACCGAAGTGTTGTCGATCCTCATACTCAGGTACATGAGGAAGGACGGCACCTTGAGGTTCGGCGATTTCGTTTCCGCCATCCTGCACCTGAGCATCGCGTTCAATCTGTTCGAGTCGAAGGATCCACTCCTCAACGGTAACATCAAGCTAAATCTTGCCGAATGGCTCAAATCCGCGTTCGTGTGCTGACGCGGGCGGCGGTCCTTTGCTCAATTCATTTTTTGTTTGTTTGTTTAGTTTTTTTTTTTTGTTTTTTGTCCGACAAAAGCCCAATTGTGATTATATAATATTTTGTGTACCTTCCTCGACTGTAAACTTTTATTTTATTTCGTTGCGAATATTATAACAATCACTAATTTATCGTTTATATTATACTCTCTTCGAAGTCAAAACGGACAACAATCCTACGAATAGTATAATAGTATTATTATAATAAAAATGAGTTGCGATTGCCGTTTTAGCTTTTAGTTATATGTATATGTTATGTGTCAGAGAACCAATGTATAATATAGTAACATATTATTTTAAATACGACGTTACTACACCTATTGTATAAATAGTTTATAGATATTGTTTTTAAAATTATTATAAAATTAAACTAAATTGTTGTTTACGTCATAATTTTTAAGTATTATTTTAATTTATAAACCACTGTTTTGGAAAAAAAAAATCTCATACTATACTTAACATAATTTATTATTATTTAGTTTAGTCCTATACATTGTAAGTAAATCAACCTAATCAATTAGGAAATTGTTAAGTTTTTAGATGATTTATCAAAATAAACGTGAAAGAGTATTTTGTTTTTGTGTCACTTGAAACAAGACTAGGTAGTAAAATATTCCGTTTAATAGGTAAATATACTTAGTATAACTTTTTAAATTATATTTTGACTGTCTATTGTGATTATTAAAAGTCAAAACAAAGTTTTCGAAAATGGTAATATAATATATTAAAATAAGTTTAACATTTTATTATAATATTCATTAGTATATTCATTACTCTTATAAAATACTATAATATGTATCAATATAGGATTTACAGTTCAAATAGCTGCACGATATTATAGGGAAATGTACCTACATTATTTTGGAACTCCAGCATAGGCTCAATTTGGGCAACTGATTTGGGGGGAATAAATTTATAACATCAATAAAGAACCACATCATTATTTAATAGGTTGATTTAAGAATGAATATATTTAAAAACTTAGGGGGGCTTAAATAAAACTAAGCCCACCCTAGACCCCCCAAATTGCGCCTATGAACTCCAAACCCACTAACACCCAGTTGTCGGTGGTCAAGTGAGAAATGATAACCTCGTGTCTTAGACGTATCGGTCGGCTCGTATTAGGAAATCGGAAAATTAATTGAAAAATCAAAAATAGATAATATATTATTACTTTTGACGAAAACTATAAAAAAAACATAGTGATCGTCGTGAACGGTTGTTCGCGCACCCGTTGAAGAGTCGAACATGGTGGCCGGTAGATGGTGCTGCCGTTATCCTGCTCACTCGTTGACCGGATACCTTGAGCTTTCCAGACTTACAGACGGCTGCAGTAATTGCACGACGTAAATTTATGTAATTTTGATGTTGAGTGGGAAAGAGTGTAATGTGAATTTCCAAACAGGGATTGAAAATTCAAGTGAATGGCGACCTAGATACTGACGTATAAAAATTTTGAAAAAATTAATTTTTTTCGAACGAGTTGCTGACGATTTTTGCAGTGGTTAGTTAAATTTCTAAAATATTAGAATATACCAGGCAAGGGAATAATCTGAGGCCACAAAAATATTGTGATATTAGCCCATAAGTACGAATTTCAGCTTTAAAGAGTTTTATGGCTATAAATAAATAAAAAATAGGTTTTATCGCTTCTGGTGGATAATTCACTAAATGCCGTCAATTTACGACTGACTTTTCGACACAAAGTGACTGCACCAATCTACATTGGGAGTAAACCCCTAACTCATGGAATAGGGTGGGGTGTTAGGCGACCCATTTTAAATAATATGTTTTTAGTCAATTCAAATTAATTATTTTTTTTATTTTTTTTATTGGATAACCCACGGCAACAAAGGCCATTGGGTGTGGGGAGCGAACTGTGGGTTTTTAGACACCAAATTAATTGTTGAGGTATGTTTGAAATTAGAACGGTTTATTGAGTAATTAAATTTACGGATTCAAAATTCAAATACTCACCAATAATAAATTATTGTTTATTCAAAAAATAATAAAGTTGTGATTTAAATTGATAATTATATACCATAGTATGTAATATGTTGCATTTTTTTTTGTATTGCAATTTACTGTTCATATTATATTTTTATATTGTAGCTATTATTCTATATAATCTATAATTATTAAGATTCGCCTTAGAAGCTATGTGTATAGGCAATTTATTTAAACTCTTACAGACTAGTACAGCGCAATTTGAGCTCAAACAAAATAAGCTCCTTCATTTTAAAAATCCAAGTAGCACAAACGTTGTTTTCAAAACTATTTTCAATTCCTTAATAATTTGCTATTAAATATATTTATTAGTTATTACTTCAAAAAAGTGGTTGTTTTAATTAGAAATATTATATATATTTTGTAGGTTCCCAATTGAATGTAACACAGAATAACTTTTATAGAAATAAAGTAACAATTTATATGCAGCTTAAAATTATCGTGTTCATACTTTTAACAAACGGAAGCACACTACCATAGCGTGTACCGTTTCAAGATAAAAAAAAACTGTAGATATTTATGATATTCTAAAATGTTTCAAGTCATGAGCTATAACGGCTAAAATAAAACGAGGAAGAGGAAAAATATCAAGTACCTATCGTGATTAGTATTTATTTTTAAGATGCATTGAAATACAAGAAATATGTTCAATAATATGCTCAAAATTTGCAACAACTCTAGGAATGTTGAACCTTAGTGATACTGTTATTGTGTCAGTTTTGAACACCTTACATCCACGTTGTCTTTGCGTCCGTCCGTCAGTCCGTTAGGTACAATAGTTCCATAGTTACGACTGTTGACACTAAGGCACTTATGACTTACCATCTATTTTCTATAGTTACTGTATAGTTACATAAATTTATTGTGTATGGAATTATAATTTATTGAGTTGTATTGAAAGAGTGATGCCATCTTGGTTATTTAATGACCAGATCTAGTTTTATTGTACAAGGTAATGTCGGGTTGAAATTTGATCTGGTTATCAGTTTTTTTTCTGGTTATTTTTAGTGATTCATTAGGTCTTTTTTGGTTGATTTTAAATTACCAAATTACATGGATTTTAATTAATTTTTTGGTATTTTTTCAATTTTATATTTCATGTTATCAATTTTTCACCAAGGTGCTTCATAATTGACGTTTGATTTTATATTTTGTTACGGTTATACCAAGGTTTATAGATAATATAAACCTTGCGGTCATAGATAATAGAAGATCTATTATCTATGCCTGCGATTATACTGCCTGACGCCTTATCTATTCTGTGTTTCTATCATCGAAACTCATAATAATTGATTACATTTACGAAATACGATTTACACATCAGTTATCAGTACATCACTAAGGTTTTTTTATCTAATGACTGATAATAAGTTATATTGGTTTTGTTTTATTATGTTTTAATCACGATTATAAAGAACTATTATCTTTATAATCGTGGTTTTAATCAAAAGTCTGATTCAATGTATCTAACATAATATTGTCATGTAATAACTGGAATAATATGTTGGGTATTAACTTTTTTTATATAATATATTTATGATTTATTCACAATAAAAGTTTAAAAATATTATAAATATAATATTTTTCTTCATGGAATTATTAATTCATAATTGTTATTTATTTAAATGGTTGTTCTTCTATTATATTAATTATTTATCAGGAAAATGTCATAATATCAAATTATATATTAAATTATTTTATATTTTTATGCAATTTGATGATTTCGGTTTGGTTATTTTTTTTGGTTTAATTTTTTGGTGTCTGGTTATTTTCTGGTTATTCTGTTATCATCATTTGGTTTTATTAAGTGCTACATTTCTGGCAACACTATATTTGAAACATGTTTAATATCCAGGAATTTAGCACCCTTGGCAATAGCAGTCACATAAAGAGCTTCCCTAACTTAATGACTATTAGTAATGCCACATTATACGATGTTTTCAATCCATTTTTTTTTGTCTTCAGTTCATCTATTAAAGTGCTGTAGGCCCATAATTTGTTTTCACTCTTTGGCAAACGCATGACGGCAAATTTGATTCCAATTCAATCTAATATATATATCAAATTAACGAAAACAAAAAAAATTGATCTGCTAAACGAAATTTTGCAATGTTCCGGAATCCGGGTGGCCCAGAGAGAGTGAGAAGACAAATAGGTATTGTGCGCCGTCATCATCTCTCTTTCACATATCATCACAGTGCTTAACCATTGTGACTATAATCTGACTATAACCATCGTGTTTACCGTCATAAAACACAAACACATTGTTATTAATATTTACATTAACAATGACAAATATGCATTTTAGCCATCACAGTTTTACTATACTATTTTGAATTTTCTCTACTTTCTGGCCAACATAATATTTTAATTTGACCGTTTATACTGATTGAATAATTTATTAATGTTATACTACAATATTTGCAAATAATAATTAGCATAATTATTTTTAGGAAATTATCTACTTCTTTTATTTCAAATTATTATAATATTATTAATGATTTTTCAATAAACATGAAATACTGATATACTGCACACAGAACAAAATACATTACTAAAATAATTAATGATTGAATCAATGACATTATAATGACATTATATGCATAAAGTGCATCTATCATTCATATACAATCATACAGTGCATTTTTTACGGTTATAATATGGACTCAAGAATGTTAATTATAATAATACAATTTAAAAATGTTATGTACTTAGGGACGTTAATATCATGGCGGTCTTCGATAGCTTGAGTAAATAGTAAACGTCATTAAGCCTGTGCGGAAAAAAACTAACCAAATACTTCAAAATACTGACTGTGACATTATATTTTATACAATTGTCAATGATGTAAGGACAATAACAAATAACAATCTATTAAATTGTAGGTGTCGTAAATGCAACGTATTGAAAAAAATAAAAACTTGTACAATATCATAAAATCGTATTGCCATTTAATATCTAACAATAATAATTATGTACAGGCGTACAGCACACTGACAAAAATTAACAAGATTTTCGAGAAGAAAAATACGAATTATACGATATGCATCGATAAGGAATATAGTTACGAACCGCCTATAGTATCGAAGTCTGAGTACGATACGGGTCGGTACGTATCGCCTGTACACTTCACGTGTAACTTCTTGAACGCTCAAAATTGATCCGATACGTACCGATGCACTCAAATTTCTTCCTCGAAAATCTTGATATATCTAGAGATTGTATATAAATATTATAATAATTTAAAGAACAAAGTTTAATAATATAAAATGTGGGTGCACGCAATAATTACAATAATAATAATAATAAAAATAAAAATAAAATAATAATAAAACTAGCGATTTTCGCATATTGTGATAGGTAGGTTGACGGGGAACGGGTAAAATGTATTTACATCTTATATATACAAATTTGGGCGGTCTTAGAGCTGTTTGTCGTGTGGCTGACGGCTGCTGGACGTGTGGCGGCGGCGGTGGCGGCGGATGCGGTTCCGGCTGCTCAGACACGGCTTGAACAGTTCGGCGACGAGCGCCTCAACCAGGCGGACGGTGGCCCTGAGCACCTGGTCCACGCTGGTCGGCGACTGTTGGTGGTACATGCGGATGGGCGCCCGCCACGGGCTCATGGTGAAGTGGACGAACCTGTTGGCCCGGGACGATGCTGTGGCCATCGCGAGCTGGTGCGGCGGCGAGTCAGCGGCCGCGTCGTCCACGCAACCGTAGTTCTTCATGCGCACCGTCGCGCCCACGTCGTCGAGCTCGGCGAGCAGCGACCGCTGGGCGGCCGTCTTCTGGGCGGCCGTCGCCCGGCCGTCGGAAAGCGTCCGCACCGCCGCCCTGATGCACTTGTCCATAACGGCCATCTGGACCATGACGTTGGTAGGGTGGTAGTCTCCGGCCATGACCGTGTCATAGATTCCCTCGAGCGCGGCGCATATACGCTTGGCGTACCCGGTGCAGTACAGGTTGGCAAAGTTGGCCGCCTCGTTGATCTCGACCACGAAGTTTTCCACCGAGAACACAGGCCGAGTGCTGCACCGGAGCGCGGCCACGGCCAGCCCAACGGCCCGGCACATGCTCTGCCGGCAGCACGCGTCCACCCGGGTGGTCAACAGCGATCGGGCCGCTGACCTGAGCGTGCCGTACACCCGTTCCGCGTCCACGCGGGCCGGTCGCCTTTGCTGTTGCTGCTGTTTCTGGCCGTCGTTGGTGGGTGGGCGGAGGGACGCAGACAGTCCGACTAGCTGTTCGTACACGGTCTGGCTGACGGCGTGCTCGGGTGTCTGGTACAGCACCAGGTGCGCAATGGCCTCCAGGTGTTCGCTGAGCACCACGTCCCACGTCTCGACCACGCAGCCTCGCACGTACTCTGATTCCAGACACCCGTCCAGGATGGCCACCAGTCGCTCGGCGTCCAAAAGGTCCGGCAGGCGCCGGGCGTCTAGCAGGTCAAACGACGTGGCCGCGGCCGCTGCGGTCGTCCGGTCGCACGTCATCCGCCGTCGGGTCACGCCGTCGCCAACGCCGCCACTGTCGTCGGCTTCCGCGGTCGAACAGCTCGAACACGATCCGCTGTCGTCATCGTCTTCGTATTTTTCTTCGTCGTCATCGTCGTCATCGTCATCATCGTCGCTGCAACTACAGCTACTTCCACCATTGCGTTTGGCCATAAAACCGGTTTGGGCGTCCGTCCGCTCTAGTAGTCTGACCGAGAAAAGAAAAAACGCACATCGAAATCAATTTACAGGGTGGAAAAATTTTAATGGTAACCTAATCGCATCCCAAATGGCTCCCGTCAAAAAAGGTTTTACGAACAGGTAAATTTCCAAAAGGCTCCCGCCGAAAAAGGTTTTTACAAAGGCAATTTTCTTTTCATATTATATTTGTATTTGTATCTATTGTTCTATATAATCTATAACTATTAAGATTCGCCTTAGAAGCTATGTGTATAGGCAATTTAGCTAGTAAACTAACTATCTAGCTTAGTTTTGAAGTTATGAAAAGGTATCAACATATAAGTCACCAACACCTATGTTTGAAAAAAGTAACATTTCACAAATGTTTTTCCTATTGACGTATAGAACACAATTTGAATAAACAGTATGGCGCAGTTTCAGACGTCAAAATAAGCTCAATCCTTTTAAAAATCTAAGTAACATAAACATACGAGCTTAAATGTAAGTATTGGTGGAGAAAATTACAAGTAATTAAATTGGAGAAAAATACCATCTCCCAGCCGAATGGTCTACGTCAATCATTATAATATGTATTATTATATAATGTTGTATCATGCATAATATATAAAAAATCTTGTTAACTAGGTTAAGTAAACATTCATATGTAACAGGTAAAATACCAAAACAATTCAAATCATACAAAACTCAATAAGCTAAGTAACAACATAGAAACAATTATGCATTTCACCAAATTAGGATAAGATATCAATTATTATGTAATACAATAACAATTAGTATAATTTTAAGCATAGTCAGTAAGTATAATGCAACTAGGTTAAACTTAATATCGATACTACCAATAGTGCTTCGATTGTAATATTGATATATAAGTAATATGGGAAGACAGATAGATAGTGAGTTGGCGGTGGTCGTGTGACTCGACTACCACTGGACGTAAAAGTTTTTAATAAAAGTGCTTATATTATTATTCGTTTGTTTATTTGTGTACGTCTGTGATCGGCGTATACGACAATAATATGTTCTTATTTGTTCAATGAGGGGGAGGGCGTCAGAAGCGTCATGCTGCTTTATCCATCAGCCTTATATATTTTTTATTAACATTTTAACAGTACGTACATTTTAAGCTAAAATTAAGCTACCTAATTTAATAATAATTTTATAAATCAGACCGTATTATCTTTAAATAACAAAAAAACATTTTTGGGAGGGAGACATCCTAGAGAAAGATATTGTATATACCTTGTCTAATGAGGGTATTTAGGACATATCGAACATGTAATTTTTTTTTCTCTCAATAGGGGATGGCGACGAGTCATAGTCCCGATTAGAACATATACTTAAATAATTAAGATCTACAATAACATTTTAAAAAGGAATATTATTAATTTGACTATAAAATAAATGAGAAAATATCTAAAAAGCTATGCTTGTACAATGTACATTATTATACCAAATTTTCCTTTGAGAGTGATGTACATAATATTTTAATATGTGAAGTATTTACACATTTTTCTACCAGAGGTTTAAATTTATTAAAATGAATAAAAAACGAAAATTGTGACTAAATATTTTATCAGATCATGAAAAAAAGTATTGTTATTAACATTATTTTCTTTATAAAAAAAAAAAAAAAAAAAAAAGGGCCATGGCATATATATCCCCCCATACCCTCTGTGTTTGACAGCCACTGGAACGCTTTACATCTAGACGTCTAATGACTATCATGGATTAGCTAGCTGAATGTTTATTTATCTCGTTTCTCGATTTTTGTAAACGACTTACACGGGATAAACAATTATTTTATCTACCTACATGTAAGACTGATTACCGACATAAATAATGTAATACTTGCTATGATTTAAGATAATATAGTTGCTCAACGAGCTTTGATTAAATAAATAGACATCAATAATTGTATGCATTTATTTATTTTATTATATTCAGTAGACTCTACAGTCTACAGTATACAGTGCAGATTGTAGGTACGATTAATAATTGCTTATAATGAATAAGTGTGGTGAGTGAAAATAAAAGTAAATATCATTGAATAACCTGAAAGTGCTGATACAGATATGAACAATTATTATATATTTTAATTTATATTCAATTAAGGTTAGATATATTGTTTTGTCATTTACGAGCATATATTAGTATGGTAATAACTATTAATTAATAATAACCGATGAATAACAATTATTAAGAATTTAATATTTCCAAATTTATACCTGTGTAAATTGAACACGATACGATGTGCCATTATTATGTGAACTGCGAGATATGAATATTGATTTCCTGCATACCTAATTATTAATTAGTAAACATCGGACAATTTTGATAAACATTTTAAAATAAAATTATCAGTGCACTTGAAACTCGCACCATAGCCCATAGGTACATATAATATTAATAGTCTCTGTCGTTTTATAATTGAAATATATTATGTCTAAGCATTTAAGTTTATTTGTGCACACATAATATAATATGTAGGTGCTATAAGACATACACTGTATATACCTATGATTAATTTAATAGTAACTCAAATCAGTTAAACCTATCAATTTAACCTGATTTTAAATTTAAATCCACAAATTTATTTTTTATAGAAGTGATATAACTTCTAATATGATTAAGTTTAATCTAGCACTGTCAATGTATCTACTTATTTAATGTTGATTACATTACGAGACCTTAATTTCTCGTACTATTTTAATAGTAAGTACTTATAATAAATGTAAATTTTTGAGTTATTTTTATCTTAATAGATTTTTAATTGTATCGGAAAAACTTAAACCAAAAGAGAAGTGAAACAAGTAATGAACGTTACAGTATTAAATATATGTACCATATCATAATTTTACGATTCTCACAGTCATTTTTAAAACAATAAAATAAAACCACTTGACCCATTCTCCCGTGAACTTGTCCTATTTTGTTTTTTTTTCAAAGTAAAATTATTTTGGTTTAAAATTTAAATCCCAATTACTAATCATAAATTATAATCATTATTCATAAATATTCATATGATTTAGTTGAAATTACTATAGTTGATTAATCAAAAGTAATATTAAAGTTTAATGTTTATTAGTTGTGGTATTTTGTAAGTATAATATTTATCTGTCTTTGTGCTTAAGCAAATAAATCAGGACAAAAGTCCAACGTTGGTGAGTATATGTGACCTTCAGATCATACAATAGTGTACGTCTGTTAATAAAAGTTATTATTCAAACCATCCAATCATTATATTATTAATTTATAACAAGTATATGACTAAGTATATGCATAATATAACGACAACTGAGCGTTAGTGCAAATATAACTACACTAATTATTGCCAATATTGAGTTATGTTTCTGAAATTAACTCGAAAAGGGATCGAAAAAAAAACTTATTTATGATGTTGGAACAATCAGAAAATGTATATGTGAACATACTATTATAATATAATAATAAACTCGTAAGAAAGCCTCGAAAGTCGAAAGTAGTATGATATATAGATATAGGCCTATGCGTAAATGTATATCCAATCTTGTCTCGAATCTTGTAGAGTGCATATTATTCATATAATATGTACCTATTATGTATTGTAATATATTATTCCGAAAACGAGTAGTTAAATTATTATTTATTTCAATAAACCAGAAAACAGGCATCCCGGGTAATACAAAACCGCATGTGTCTGTTATCAATAATATTATTATCATTATTTATCATTATTTGCCGGTCTACACAATGGCAAATCGAGTGTTTGGTCAGCGGCACAGACTAAGATATACCTAATGGACTGAAAACGACAGGGTTGGCGAGGATCGAGGAACGGCCACGAACAGGTGTCACTTAGCTGATAAAAACACTGTTCTTGAAGTTTTCAGCGGTGGTTTTCTTTAGCTACACAATTTGTGTCTTAGTCCGTGTTTTATACAGACGGCGCTGGAACTTCAGGAACACATAGTGACCCCCCGAATTTGGCTCTTGTGCAGTGGCGTGGTGAACTACTTTTTGACCAGGGGCCAAATACAGAATACCAACCCACCTACCCACCTAAAATTAATATTTACACTTAAATTCAAATGCCAAGGGTGATTTTATATTGTATATAAAAAAAACCTTTTTATACTCATGTACAGTATTAAAATATATTTTAGAACAATAACGTTTAAAATTTAATATGCAATTATAATAAAGGTGGGTAAGTGGATGTCGCTCTGCTGTACAGTAGGTTACAAGTGGGTCACTGTATAATGGATGCTATTAAATTTGAATTCAATGATATAATATCATTGTATAAGAAAAACGATTCTGAGAGAAGACGGTATGTCAGTCTAGGTTTAAGATAAATTATATACAAATCTATGGTATTAAAAAAAAATTGACCTATAATAAATTCCAAATTAATCATATCACATTATCACAATATCCATTAGGTACTTATAACACGTTATACATCAACATCAATAACAAACCCTGATACTATCATAGATATATAATAGTACACTTTAGAAGTTTCAAGTAGGTACCCACGAATAATATTATATAATCACAACAAAATAACTAGGTTTTTTAATATGTAATTTCGTCCAAATTTGAACATAAAATGACTATAAAAATAAACTGTGATTGTATATTTTTTAGATTTTTCGGTAAGAGAATTAACTACTTACGTGGAATCTTGTTTTACATTTTCAATCCTTAGCTATAAAAACTGAACATTTTATAACTTATTAATTAATGATTAATAAATTTCGAGATTTTGAAAAATTCTGTCAACATTTGATGTTTAAATGCTTATAAAAAAAAATTGTGCCTATGTATTTTTAATATTTTTCAACTGATATTGTAACAATATATCAGGAGCCTTGTATTAAACTTTTACACTTTTTGGCCCAACAGATAAAACTTTATTGATATTCAAAGAAAAAAAAACTAAAAAAAATTGAAAGCTGTAAATGTCCATAAACAGCTCAAAAAGAGTCAAA